TTAAAAACTCAAGAGTGCACTTTTAAACGATCTTAAATATTTTATGGAAGGGTGGATATAATTTACTGTTAATAAAAAGCCAACTTCAATAAACAAAATAGGGGTATGAAGAGGTCTATGCCTTGTGCAGGGATAAGGCAAAACATTTATGCTGATCGATTGTGCTGATTGGCAATTTTAAAAAATTAAAAACTTGTCTAATGTCAGGCTGTGGCTTATCTAATAAGAATTATTATGATTTACAATATACTAATAAATTCTACAACTAAATACAGTGTAAGTGGTAAAATCAAAAGTATTCCTCAAAATGAAGTGTGGCTTTGACATGATATTAATTCTACATACCCGAGTCACTTCCAGGAACATCTTGTGTGACTGACTTGGAAAAAGAATCAAAGGTTCCATCTGCATGTACATTCAAAAACCATGTTATTAATAGTCATGAAATATAATCAGACCTGTTAAATTATGACCTTTTTATGCTTGAATGCAACAGCTTCAATAACATTCACTGACACGTGGGTATTTTTCGTAGCCTGCGGTGCAAATTTGTAATGCGTGACAGATCGTTGACAACATCTGTCAATATTCATTGCTCACTTGTGAACAGCCAGAGCTCTGACCGATCAGATCATGATACCAGAATCTGGTATCATGGGTGGGCGGCATCAAAACAAAGTCTACAGGCTTCCCCACCTTTTTTCTCCAGGCTATGCTTTCTCTTTTGCCCTGTTCCACTTGGGAGCCTGTACGCAGGCTACTAAACAGTTGACATTTATGGTATACATATATTTTTTTGAGAAGAAGCATTTAAGTTTGCCGCATATTCGCAGAAAAACACAAACTTTACAATAACAGACCAGAAGGAACATAAACTTAAACGAATTTACATTTGGAAACCCATAACTACCAGGTTAAATTTTAACTTAGGTTGATTTTCAATTTTCTCTGTTTCTTAGGTATAGGAGACAAAGGAAACTGAGAATCTACCTACAATACTCGTCACAAATCTTGGAACAATAGTGTGATTTTCCCCTTCCCCAGGGTTGATTTGGGTATTACAGTCGTAATACGCATGGCTCAACATTGGGGAAGGAGAGGGGCACATTTGAGTGAGAGCAAAGGTGAGAAGAATGAAGGTAAGACATTTTAAAAAAATACAAGGAAAAAGGTTTCTGTTTCAACGAATTGTGACGAGGATTGTAGGTTTTTAAAAAAATTTAAACTATATTGAGGGACAGAGAAGAAAATTTATTTTGACCGGTAACAAACACTTCTTTACGTCATCAGTAAGTCTTATAGCGTTTATGTCGTTTGAGGTCCATATGATCGCTGCGATCGCTGACAAAAAAAGGGTTAAGCGATCGCACCGATCATAGCGATCACAAGGAAACCAACTTCCAGCGATCGCACCGACAACGACCGCAGAGATAGGAAAAAAGTTCCATCTCAGCGATCGTTGTCGCTGCGATCGCTACGATCGCTGAATTTTTATTTCTCAGCGATCACAGCGATCATATGGAAACCAGGCTTTGGTAAGGGTTTGCCTTTTTTTAGGAAACTCTAGTAAGCGAGAGTGACACGAGATCTTACCTTCGCTTTCGCTCGAACTTGACCCAGGAACATCTTCTGGCTCACATTTCTTTTGCCTGAGATCGTGAACTGTTGTCCACTGATTTAAAGTTGAATTAAAGTAGAGCCGACGGTGTTCGTGATACTGTGTATGGCCAAGGAACTGCTCACAATGTCCACACTTTTGCCTGCTCCATTGTCTCTTCTTCCTACGATTCTCGTCCCCATGAAAAACTTTCCTCTTCATTGTTTAGAAATCAACTTTAATAAAACTATGAACTTTGCTAAACACGCTGGTAAAACCTGAAACGAGGGAAATCTCCGCACTCGTACGGTTTGTAAACAACTGATCGAGATTTAAATATCAATAAATTAATCACACACATAGATCAACTTAGAATTCTTCTAGCGCATAACGAAATAGATATTTTATCGATTAATGAAACTAAGCTCAATGAAACTATTAGCGACAATGAGGTCAACATCTCTGGCTATGATATAATTCGACGTGATAGAATTACAAACGGTGGAGGAGGAGTGTGTTTCTATGTGAAAAGTTCAATAAATTTTACCATACGAAATGATTTAAACATGGACACAAATTCAAAAACCTAGATCTAAACCGTTTGTTGTTGCCACGTGGTATAGACCACCTGATTCTCCTATTGGTATTTTTTCACCTTTCGAAACTTTAATTGGGAAACTCGATTCCGAAAATATTGAATATTTTCTAATGGGAGACCTTAACTGCGACATGATTGCTACTCGATATGACAATAATACATGCAAATTAATGAGTATCGCTGATATTTATGGTCTACAGCAACTTATCACTGAACCAACCAGAATAACTCCGACTTCTGCAACTTTGATTGATGTAATCTATACTAATTGTCCAGATAAAGTTGTGTGTTCGGGGGTTCGTCATATAAGTATTAGCGATCATAGCATAGTTTTTGCCTATCGAAAATTATCCGTGAATGGAATGTCTGGTGGGCACTATGCTATAACCTACAGAAACTTTCGAAAATTTAATCGAATAAATTTTCGGAATGATATTGCATCTCATTGTTGGGATCACATATACAATTCAACTGATCCCAATCAAATGTGGCTACAATGGAAATGCTCGTTTCTATCTATTGTTAACAAGCATGCTCCCTTGAGGACAATGCGTGTTCGCACGCGTAGTTCCCCATGGATTACATCTGAGCTTAAGAAACGAATGCATGATCGTGATATTCTAAAGATTAAAGCAAGTAAATCGAATGATTCAAATGACTGGTCACTTTTTAAAAAACAACGCAAAATAGTAAATAGCGAAATCAGATTAGCCAAGCAAGCCTATTATCAAAATAGTTTTAACAAGCATACGGGCGATTCTAAAAAGACCTGGCAGACTATCAATGAACTTACTTCGCGAAAATCTGGGAAAAAATCGGTGACATCTCTGAAAGTAAATGGAGTATCAATAACAAATCCAACTGTGCTGTCGAACCAATTTAATAATCACTTTGCTACTATCGGTCCAGAACTTGCTAGCAATATTGATTCCTCAAATAGTGATGGTTATCAAAAGTACCTCACTGGCACAGGTAAACGGTTTCAGCTCCATCCAACCAGTACAAATAAAGTTCTCTCAGTTTTGAATCGTCTAGATAGGTCAAAGGCAGCTGGCCTTGACAAGATATCTGCTAGGCTCATTCGGGAATGTGCAGATCTCATTTGCATTCCTATCCGTGATATTTTTAACCAGTCAATAAGTCAAGGCATATTTCCCGATGACTGGAAATGCGCAAAGGTCACCCCACTTTTTAAACAAGGCGATCGGGACGACTTAAACAATTATCGTCCAATTTCGGTGATCTCAGTTATGGCCAAGGTCTTTGAAAGAATCGTCTATGATCAATTATATGCCTACCTAGAAGAGCACAATATAATCTGTAAATATCAATCAGGCTTTCGCGCTATTCACTCAACTGTCACGGCTCTCCTTGAGGCCACGGACACTTGGGCGTACAATATTGACCGCGGTAAAATCAACGCCGTTGTTTTCTTAGATCTCAAAAGGCCTTCGACACAGTTGACCATGAGATCCTTTTATCAAAATTAAGCAATTACGGCATATATGGTAACGCGCACCAATGGTTTAAGTCGTATTTAGAGAATCGTACTCAAATGTGCTCCATCAACGGATCGCTCTCTCAAAGCTGTTTATTAAGTTGTGGTGTTCCCCCCAGGGGACGATTTTAGGTCCATTATTATTTCTGTTATACATCAACGACCTTCCAAACTGTCTTTCAAATTGTGAGCCGAGGATGTACGCTGATGACTCCCACCTTACGTACGCAGGTGATAATGCAGACAATATTCAGTTGCATCTAAATCAAGATTTAGAAAATGTTCACAATTGGCTGAGAGCAAACAAACTTACTCTAAATATGACTAAAACCGAATTTATGCTTATCGGATCTAGGCAGAGGCTAAGTGCTCTCACAGAGTCCCCGACATTTGCAATTAATAATTTTGAAGTTAGCCAGGTCACTACTGCAAAATCACTAGGAGTGACCATCGATGACAGACTTGATTGGAGTGGCCATATCGAGAAAGTAACAAAGAAAGTCGCTTCTGGTATTGGGGCCATAAAACGAATAAGGCACCTTGTCCCTCAGGCGACGTTACAACTAATATATCAAGCTTTAATACAGCCACACTTTGATTATTGCAACATTGTTTGGGGAAACTGTGGGATAACCTTACGGAATAAGGTTCAAAAGCTACAAAACAGAGCAGCCCGTGTTTTGACCTACTCAAGCTATGACGTAGATGCTGGTCACCTTTTCAAACTTCTAGGGTGGAAAAACCTAGCTTGCCAGCAACAATTTCAAAGAGCTACGATGGTTTACAGGTCTCTGCACGGGTTGGCTCCAAACTATCTTAGTTCTAAATTTGAAAGGCGAGAAGTCGCATATAACCTAAGGGACTCTGAAAATAAACTCAATGTTCCATTACCGTGCACAAACTATTACAAAAACAGCTTCAGCTATAGTGGTGCCATTCTCTGGAACAGTCTTCCTTGTAACTTAAGGGAAGCAGAGTCCCTTGGGCAATTTAAACGATTACTCAAAGAACTGTAAGGCACGGCATTCGTGGAAAGCAGCTTTTTTATTTAAATATTTTTATTATATTAGTTTTAGGCATTTTTTTCAAGCTGACGAATTTTGTACCGTGGATAAATAAAGATTATCTATCTATCTAGATTATAGTCTATTGCGCAGATGCTACTGCGCATACCGTGGGCTCGCTGTTCTTTTGTTTACGGGTCAGTGTCAAAGAGCGTCATTCGCGAGGCGGGAAAAATCGACTCACATTTCTTCGAGTTCAAGCGCACTTTTGTTGGCAGTTCGTCGCCGGATCAAGCAAGTAGAATGGCAACACCGAGCGTAGAAAGGGAACAAACCGATCAAGAAACGCCACGAACTGTTCCAGAAACGCAACGGGATCTTGTGAGGCGACTACTTGGTGAAGTGTCGGAAATGCGGAAAGAAAATCAACAACTGCAAAGTGAAGTGGCAACGTTAAAGGCTAACGTCACGAAGAGACGGCTCTTTCGACAACCCAAAGATAATGATCCTGAATGCTCTGTAAGTTATCTCTTTTCATAAATATTATAAAAACATATTTGCCTTTCAACCAGTATAACTTACGGTCAAGTCGCCCGAAAGTTATCTCGCCCGAAACCAGAGTTCTGAGGGTTAAGCTTAAGCTTGTGTCGTCCGATCGCGAAATTTCTAGTTAAGTCGCTCGAGATTTTATCATGCTCAACAGCATCCTAAAATCTTTATCACGCTAGTTTCGTTTCCTCAAGATCAAATCTTAAAGAACGAGACGTATTACTCTGAACTCATTTAAAATGCTTGTTTCGATTCACCAACGCTTTAAAGAACGTGATACCGTACGTCAGTTAAATCGTGTGCACGTGACGAGAAAACATGTCCTAATTGGGTGCAAACATGACGGGTTTTGCCGCCAAACATTCAAATATAGGTAGGCGGCTCTTCGCACGTGAACCTCTTGATTTGTTTTTGCCCACCAAAATATCATTCGCAAACTTTTAGATGTTCAAAGAATAATTCTAAAAAGCAAGTGTGTTATTTCTGAGCAGGAAATATTCCTGACAATTGAGAAAAATAACAGATGAGAACGTGCTGATCAAAACCATATAAACAACTTTTAACCTTGGCGTGACAGTTTGCTCTAACAGCTGTCAAACATGTTAATGTTTGGTGGCAAAACATCATCGTCATGTCTGTCACCCTGACATGTTCTGAAAATAAGCCCCGGGGCTTACATTTTTCAAAGGTCCTTTTTGAGGGGCTTATTTGTGGAGGGGCTTATATTCGGAGGGGCTTATGTACGGACGGCAATTTGCATTTAAAAATCGATTGGTTAGCCTTATTCTAGGTAGGAAATTTACCGTTTTTCTTTGATTACTTTGCATTTGAGGGCAATTTTCAAGTACAAGCCCCCCGGGAGCTTATATTTGGGGGGGGCGATTTAATGGAGGGTTTTTTGCGTTACGATTTTGAGGGGCATATATTAGGAGGCGCTTATAGATGGAGGGGCTTATTTTCGGAATTTTGCAGTATTACAAATTTATCCTTGCATCATTCCTCAAAGAACGAGATATATTATAAATGCTATTTCCTTGAATAATAGCCAGGCCCTTGGGGAGATTATAATTTTTTTTGTGTCAAAAGGGGGCAATTATTTGAGGGAGGTGATTATTTCAAATATTGCTGACTGAAAGTCTAGCCCTAAATGTTCTGTTTTATTATCCATTAATAAAAAAAATAGTCACATCAAATAAACTGAACTGAATTTGGTTCCTTGATTAATTTTCAATGTTAATATAGTTGATATCAGAGTTGAGGCATCACTGATGATCATTTTTGCTGGATCACACCCCACGTCAGCTTTGTTTGTTATCCAAGGTGTCACTTTTTAACTTGATAAGGAGAGTTAACAAAAAGAGATGGCGAGAGGGGTGGGGACGATTGTTCAAGGGAGGCAATTAATTGAGGGACAGCTATTATTCTAAGAAGTGCAGTAATTATCCCTCTTGTTTTCTCACTCTTTTGCTTAAAGAACAAAATATATTACATACACTCTTTACTAAAAATTCTGTGTGACATAAATTAGCATTTCGGACAACTTAACTACAAATTTCAAGCGACATAACTCTGGTTTCAGGTGGGATGACTTTTGAGCAACTTGACTAGTTCTCAGCAGAGTCTGTTAGCCTGTGGGAGGGCTTGCATTAGTGTTTGCTTTTTATTCAGTGCTATATTTTATACTTTTTTCAAGAACCAGAAAAAGTGTGGAAAATAGAAAAAAGGCGGGAGCTTTTTTTGTTTTTGTTTTGTTTTTTCAAAGCTACAGTGAGTGCTTGATAGGTGAATTTTTTTTGCCGTAGTCAAATCCTATTCAATTTCACCCTTAGCCATGACATTTAATCTCAGAATGAGAAGTTTCATAATTCTCTTACGTCTACATTGCACCTTGTTTACCGTACGTTTGCAGTGCACCATGAAAAAAGCTTGGTTCCTGCGGTTTTCAAGGTCTTCATTGTCACCTATTTGGTGCCTTGAAGTCTGGAAAAATGAACTATTATTTTTGGAAAAAGTCTTGAAAAAGTCTTGAATTTAGGATCCAAGAATCTGTACTGACACTGCTGATGTGTGGACTTGCTGCTGATGGTCGTTGCTTGTATACATGTATACATTCTTGAATTTAAACAAGATGCTTAGACTGATGTGCTATAGATGTTAAATTAGTTTTAATCAGTCTATAACGTGTTGTGATTTGAGTTTTGTTATATTAAAAGCATATATTTTGTATTTCCCTTTTTTCTTGTTTATTACAAAATGGAAGAATGCCATCCGCAAAGTTTATCAAGAATTTAAAAAGGATCAACAAGAGAATGAGGAAAACCAGCAAGTATTTGATTTGAGTGCAAGGTAAATCATTTTCTGAACTCTGTATGTATATAGTTATGTGATTTTTGCAAAAAAGAGAATACAAATTGACCACTGGCAACACACCACCCTGCAATATTCCCTGCAGAAACTGCAATATTCAGGAGTTGAAACCATTCAAGAAATCCAATTGCAGTGTAGAGGGAACGAAAGCAACCATGGCAGCAATGCCTACAAAAATGCAACTCAAAAAACCAACTTCACTTAATACTATTCCACTGTTATCCCCAATACTGAGCTCAATGTGCATTTTGTGGCAAATAAGAATTTAAAATTTTACTCAAGGATTTGAAGTGTTAAGTGGCTTTATGGTTTTTTTTTAAGGTTTTAATACCTCCCAAGCTTGTGCATAGACTACTGGAAAAACTATTACCACAACTGTATTGCACTGGACGAAAAAACGGATTTGCCTAAGTTTGCTAGTTGAGCAAATCTATTGTAAATTTAGGGTACTAATGTTGCTACTTATTTGTTCTTGGTGCAAATTTTGTTCGAAAGTGAAAGTTTACTTTTCTGCAAGGGTGGCGTAAATGTGGAGTAAATATCAAGTTTACAGATATTTTGTTTCACTTTTGCTCCCCATAGTAAATTTGGTGTTTAGATTCAAATTTGCCGCCATTTTGTTCTCTGTGTAAAAATCGAACGTCAAAAATGAATGTTTGCTTGATATTTTCTGGCATAGCAAAGTTACTGTGTAAATTTATGGTTATTAGAGGCGTAAATTTAAGCAAAATATGATCAAAGAACTATCTTTACGACCACTTTAACCAACGTTTGCACATTTACCAAACTTCACAGCGTTATTTCACGCAAGTTTTGATTTTCCATTGCCTCGTTTCAATCACCATCACATTCTTCTCAAAGTTTATCATATTACTTGCTGCAGCTGGTTATTTCGGGTAAGGCCATCCCCTCTTTTTTTTCGTTTAGCGTCGAATACGTTTCCTGATATTGGGTCGGTGGCTCGAAAAATTGCGCAAGAAGTCTCGGAATAGGAGGCCCTGACGTAAAACGTTACCATTTACAATCTGGGTGAACAAAATGCACAATATGTGAAAGGTTTGAACCCAGGAGTCGCTTCAATAGTAGATTGCAGAGTTTCATCGTCCGGGTGAATGTAGTCCTGAATGCACTCCGTCGCAAGATCAGCCGCCATGTTTGTTATTTCCCAGGCTTCTACGTGACTTCGGCACTTCAGGGCGGAAAAACGTTCTGCGCAAGCTTCTGCGCATCCCTTATTGCAGGCTCAAGGCGGGCTTTTCTGTGTGTTGATTGTGTTCGTTTGTTGCTGGAGTTCTGAGTGAACTGCACGAGGTGCGAACGTTTGCTCCCTCTAAAGCATTTTTATTTGACATGTTTGCTTTTTTTTCGTCGCTTGAAAATTACTTTGGATTCAGAACAACCAATGTTAAAGGAAAAACGGATCATTCCGTCAGTCTGAGGTGGAATAAAGGGTTTTGAACATTTCTTAAGAGGCGAGTATTTTTCTGATTGTGCATCCGATTAATTTATGAGTTGATCTCGCCGGGTTGAATTAAAACCCGCTTGTATTCTGTTATTAGTAGTTACGGTTACTTTTTTTACACGCCCAGATTTATTACCTTTGCAGAACCAGCTTTATCTTTGTCGTCAGTCAAAGAACCATATTGCTGTTATAACGCATCAGAGTGAACAAACTTGTGCGCTTATTAAACTTTCTCGGAAATAGAAGGCCAGCAAGCTTGCTCAGGATTATTTTTCTGTTGCTCAAGTAATAGTAGTCAGAGTTTTTTCATTTTCCATTACATTGTTTTGTTTTCTAGTGCACTGTAAAAGTTTCTGTTCTTTATAAGAATAACTTCCTGTACGCAAATTGTCCTTTTCACTCGCTGTGAAGTAGAGAACGACAACTGCCGGCAGTGACTTCAAAACAATTGACTCTTTTCCCGTAAACAACGGCTGCAGCTAAATTTGAGCAAAACAAACCCTTATATGCAATTTTCTGTATTTTCTAATGATCGGCTGAGTTTAATTTGCTTCAACGAAGACCCTCGCATGGACCAGTTAAGCTTAAAATAGCTAAATGGTGAATCATGGCTTGGCTGCCAAGTTGCAACTCATCTTTTGCTTTTAAGATCTTAAGGTAGGTTGTTTTCGTACAGAAAATTCATTTCTTCATTGTCAGCAAGAAGTTTTTGCAACAATGTAACTTTAACTTTGTTTGAACGAAATCCTACTTACGCGTAGGTTTTTGACAGATGTTATGCGTGTTCAACTTGACAACACAAAGCAAAATTTATATATCTCGATATCTGCGCGAAATGAGCAAGTTTAAAAAACTATAGTTGCTTTAAAACCGATTTTTGGGAAGATTTTACTAGATAAAGATTGACCTTTTTTCTGCCCACATAAAGGCAACGCAATAACTTTTACATTGAGGATTTTGTTTATACTTTAGTGATCTGCGAAACTACGAGTATCCGATCGAGCGAGGGTTTTAAAATATCAGCTCGAGTGCGACAAAGTTCAGTGACTTCAAACACATTGTGGGCAAGCGTTAATTTTTTTGGGCAAATCACTGTCCAAAGATATGTTGTTTTTGTGTCCACAGTGGAGCTCCGGACCTTATATATCCAGGATCTTCCTTATATGAGCACATTTTGTGAATGCATCTCGAAAAAAATCGGACACACGCATGCACATTTCCAGTAGAACGCAACGAAATCAATGTCGTTAAAGTCCGTTTTACTATGAGGTGTTCTTCGAGAAAATTTACTAACGACAAGGTTATAACCACAGCTTGCAACTTTTGAAGACAAATTGCCTGTTCTTTCCAGGTTATGAGTGGAAACATTTTATTTTTAGGCAATAAAATATTTGAAATCCCGCCATTTTTTCAAACCCGGCCGGGGGATCTGGGCAAAAAAGTTCGCGCATGCTCATTACGTTTTTCCGCCCTGAACTTCGGCACATGCGCGATTCGATTTACATTGTCACGTGCGGCTTTTGAACCAATAGAATAGTGTAAAATAAACTTTCGTTGAACAGTTCAAATTCACGCGGACTTCACAAGCGATACAGCGTTGCAAAACGAGTAGTTTTGTTATTTTCGGATAATAGAAAGCCTGTCTTTCTATTCAGCTGTTCTATTACGATTTATACCTTTGTTATTTTCGAGAGACAGTGATCAGTTGCGATATTCTTCACATATATAAAGCCTGTTTCCAAGTCATCAACTCAGCTGGATTGCAGAAAGGTATGTTCTTCTTGATATCGTGGTTCGTTTACTTACTTTGGTTTTCTAATAACTTTGCGTAAGCTTAAAACCTCAAAGATAAATCTTAAAATTTAAGATGCATGCACAGATATGCCATTGATTGATTCCTTTTTGTTTACTGCAGAAATAACTGTACTCTTTGTTGCGCATCGTCTTCATTAATGGAATAATCTTAAGTAGCCAGATCTTGAGCTGTGCAGGCAAACATTTCTTTTACACCAACATAAGTCGGTGATGTGACCTTAGCATGCCCATAATTCAGTAATTTGGCTTGTTGTACAGCTGAGTTAATATGTTAGATCTTTGTCATGGGGTTACTGTACTTTTCAGGTGACAGCACTTGACAAAGCAGTGATCACTATAATTTATTATTTAATATTCTACTGCATTTCAAATGACAAATGATTAATTTTTCCTTTTAAAATTTTTACAGTAAAAAACTCTTGTTTTACATCTATACATAATTATGGTTCAGTGATATTCTGAAATCTTAATTTGGTTCATTTTGCAAGTGACGGCATAAGTTTGCCAGATCTTGAAGCATATGTGTCATTCTGAGTGACCATTATATTGTATTATTGTTCCACATTTAAATGACAAATGATTCCTACGTTCATAAATTGTACCATCCAAAGCTCTTATGGTTTATACATATGGTTCAGTGATACTGTGAGATCTTAATTTTGGTTCATTTTGCGAGTGACGGCACTTGCCAGATCTTGAAGCCTACAGTATGTGTCATTCTGAGTGACCACTGTATTATTATTCCACATTTAAATGACAAGTGATTCTTATTTCATAAATTGTACCATCCAAAACTCTTATGGTTTATACATATGGTTCAGTGATATTGTGAGATCTTAATTTTTTTTCATTTTGTGAGTGACCGCACTTGCCAGATCTTGAAGCCTATGTGTCCCTCTGAGTGACCACCGTATTATTGTTCCACATTTAAATGGCAATTGATTCTTCTTTCATAAATTGTACCATCCAAAACTCTTATGGTTTATACATATAGTTTAGTGATATTGTGAGATCTTAATTTTGGTTCATTTTGCGAGTGATGGCATATGCCAGATCTTGAAGCCTATGTGTCATTCTGAGTGACCACCGTATTATTGTTCCACATTTAAATGACAAGTGATTCTTCTTTCATAAATTGTACCATCCAAAACTCTTATGGTTTATACATATGGTTCAGTGATATTGTGAGATCTTAATTTTGGTTCATTTTGCGAGTGACGGCGTATGCCAGATCTTGAAGCCTATGTGTCATTCTGAGTGACCACCGTATTATTGTTCCACATTTAAATGACAAGTGATTCTTCTTTCATAAATTGTACCATCCAAAACTCTTATGGTTTATACATATGGTTCAGTGATATTGTGAGATCTTAATTTTGGTTCATTTTGCGAGTGACGGTGTATGCCAGATCTTGAAGCCTACAGTATGTGTCCTTCTGAGTGACCACCATATTATTGTTCCACATTTAAATGACAAGTGATTCTTCTTTCATAAATTGTACCATCCAAAACTCTTATGGTTTACACATATGGTTCAGTGATATTGTGAGATCTTAATTTTGGTTCATTTTGCGAGTGAAGCCTATGTGTCATTCTGAGTGACCACCGTATTATTGTTCCACATTTAAATGACAAGTGATTCTTCTTTCATAAATTGTACCATCCAAAACTCTTATGGTTTACACATATGGTTCAGTGATATTGTGAGATCTTAATTTTGGTTCATTTTGCGAGTGACGGCGTATGCCAGATCTTGAAGCCTATGTGTCATTCTGAGTGACCACCGTATTATTGTTCCACATTTAAATGACAAGTGATTCTTCTTTCATAAATTGTACCATCCAAAACTCTTATGCTTTATAAATATGGTTCAGTGATATTGTGAGATCTTAATTTTGGCTCATTTTGCGAGTGACGGCGTATGCCAGATCTTGAAGCCTATGTGTCATTCTGAGTGACCACCGTATTATTGTTCCACATTTAAATGACAAGTGATTCTTCTTTCATAAATTGTACCATCCAAAACTCTTATGCTTTATAAATATGGTTCAGTGATATTGTGAGATCTTAATTTTGGCTCATTTTGCGAATGACAGCACTTGCCAGATTGTGAAGCATAAGTGTCCTTCTGAGTGACCACCGTATTATTGTTCCACATTTAAATGACAATTGATTCTTCTTTCATAAATTGTACCATCCAAAACTCTTATGGTTTATACATATGGTTCAGTGATATTGTGAGATCTCAATTTTGGTTCATTTTGCGAGTGACGGTGTATGCCAGATCTTGAAGCCTACAGTATGTGTCCTTCTGAGTGACCACCGTATTATTGTTCCACATTTAAATGACAATTGATTCTTCTTTCATAAATTGTACCATCCAAAACTCTTATGGTTTATACATATGGTTCAGTGATATTGTGAGATCTTAATTTTGGTTCATTTTGCGAGTGAAGCCTATGTGTCATTCTGAGTGACCACTGTATTATTGTTCCACATTTAAATGACAAGTGATTCTTCTTTCATAAATATTGTACCATCCAAAACTCTTATGCTTTATAAATATGGTTCAGTGATATTGTGAGATCTTAATTTTGGCTCATTTTGCGAATGACGGCACTTGCCAGATCGTGAAGCATAAGTGTCATTCCAAGTGACCACTGTATTACTGTTCCACATTTTAGATGACAATACCTCATTATTTATACCTTTTGTACAGCTCAATGATGTTGAGGGATCTTTGTTAATTCATTTTGCGAGTAAATGCTTTGGCTTTATCATGCCAAATAACCACAATTAATTAATTATTGTTCTAAGCAACATGTGGGTTGCCTTAATGTTACGTTTCTCAGGTTCTGACCAGTTTTACGGTTTATGTGTACAGTTGAGTCATGGCTGTGCTCTGTTAGAGCCTGGTGACCTGTGGGACACTATCAGTTCTGCTCTTGAATGACAGGGGAATTAATTTATTTCAGTTTTTATTTACACTTAAAAGAGTCTTAATGAAACAAATGCAGATTCAACAGAAAGAAGCATTTCTGCTCTCTACTTTAACACCTGTTCCAAAAAACATATTATATATTAAATGAAAAAGTTAGTAGGAATAAAATGCAGAGAGAAATTTTTCTCACAAATATCCTCAAACTGTTCCTTTGATTAAGAGAGTGTTTTCAGCTTTTAGCATCGTGTCATTGTTCTGCAACCCAATCATTTACACTGAGTATGAGCAGTATATGCTTGTTTACCAACTGTGGGTTACTTGTTGGCTGCTAAATCATGGCTCTTCATTTTTCTTTCAGAAGGGCCAATATGCTCTGAGGGAGTCAACTAGCATCAGTTAGTCAGACAAGGACAAGTACCTTGCATGTATGTCCGTTGCATATAATTATGTCATCAGAGGAGTCTTTGTCTGAAACAGCTGTTTCAGAGTGGCATGAAGGTAATTCTTCAGGTTCAGATGAGGACCTCCCAAACAGGGAAAATCTCTGTGTAAGGCCACTTTCCTGGCAGAGCATTGAGGTTAATGGTTTAATGGCCCAGTTGGACCGCAAAGTTGCATGGTGTCAAAGCCAATGAAGTGAAAATTTGCCATCTTTGCAGAGCTGTCCTTGTTAGTTTGCACCGAATCCCTCTGTAACTTGGCAACTTTACTGAATTTTAAAAACCTTCCATCTAGTAGCCTGTAAATGCAGCGGTATTTTCAGTCGTTGTGTCCATTCACCCAACATATGTAATTGGAGATACATCTGCATCCACTTTCCGCAGTGATGACAGATCCTAGGGCTACCCTAAGCGCTGCCTTAAATAGTGCCACTCCGAGGACTAAATCTAGCCAATACACCCCATAGTAGAGTAATTACTGGACTCCAAATGCCATGATCCTATTTTGTTCTTGGCATATTTTATGAAAAAAGAGTGCAGTTATGTTTTATGCACAAAAAAAAAATACCGTGTGTGATAACAGTTTTTTGATAAGCATGGCTTAAATTTTAATCACCTGCATGCCAATAACAATAATGATGATGATGAATTAAAGAGCTTTCATAGTGTATAGATTGTGTTTGGATAATTTGGATATTTAATCAGTCCAATACTGCAAGCAAAACAGCTGATCATGTGAATCAGAAAAAAATTGCTCAAATTTTTAGCAAATAATTTGATTTTAGTTAAAAAAAATAAATGTAATAAATTATTTATGGTCACATAATAATACAAGAATTTCACCAAATCATATTATTTACAGTGATATAATAATAATAATAATAATAATAATAATACAAGTATTTAACCAAATCAGTGGATATTAGATTTGTTTTCATAACTTGAAAAGCTTTTGGCTACCTATAGGATGAGAGTAAAATTGGGGGTGTCATTTCGTGCTAGTTTTAGAAGTTTAGCAGTAAATGAAGCACTGGTAAAATAAAATACATGTACATGCTAAAAAGGTGACAAAATTAACCTTATAAGTGTTTACTGCTGGGTAAAAATATATCAAAGTCGTACCCAAATCATAGAAATGCACAGAGCTTTCGCATAGTAACTCGTTTTATTTACAAGAAATATTTTTATATATAACTGATTTGGTTAAAGATGATTCATACAGATGTATCTCCCCTTGGGGTAAGTGAATAGCACTAGGTACACTATATAATATTATTCACTGCCCATTTTGGGTAGTGGATAATATTTATCAGATGAAAACAAGTTCTTATAAATAATAATTAGAGGAATATCGCTTATCATAATAATTTGAGGCTAATTTTATTTCCAGTGGTTGATGTTCTGTCCATTAGTAAGGATGTCACATCTACACTGGGAGTGATGTGTACGTGTTGTCATCGTACAACCATTTGCCAATAGTATCAATTGAATCTAGAAAGAGTATATTTGAAGTATACCACTCAAATGGAGTTACGTTTTACCTGTACCAACCTTAGATAATTATGAACCAGCTGGTGTTGACTTGCACTTTCAAACCCAATGTACATTCTTACACACTTATGAATTTA